CTCTATCTCCGCTATAAATGTATGTAAATTCCGACCGATTCGCTTTTATTTTGTTTATTCTTTTTTTCACTCTAATTGGCTTCATTTAATATTTGTATTTGCATTTGTTACAGTTGTTTTCACTTCTAAATCCACTATCTGCATCGAATAAATACATATGCGATCTATCTGTCCGGTGCATTTGCCGTTTTTGGAGCATCGTCGTCGTCATTGTCGACATTCCAAAATAACATCTAATCACAAGAACGTTTAGTCTTAGTCATTTGGCATTGGTGATTTGGTTGAATTTGCAACCAGTTTTTAGCCTGCACGTAACTTAATTTTCCCATCTTATTCTAGTTGCCACATTCATCGAAAAATCACTCAACACATTTTATGCAAATCGATCGACACACACATATAGACATAGACAAGCACACGCAGCGCGAAATAGAGAATTTGCTCTCTTTGTTGTGTTTCTGTTGCTTCTAGCCTATGGAAATGAGACGCAAGTTTATTACTTCTCAACCATCACATAAATTGATTGCAATAAAAGTAATATTTCAGTAATCTTGCTCAGAGTGGCTGTGTCTCATGGTAATAGACGCAGCTTATGTTCCTTTTTTTCTCCGTTTTTATATTGTTGCTTGATTGAATTTTCGTGTAAATTGTCCGGTTTGAAGAACGGAACGAAATGGATGGAAATGTGCGCATCAGTGAAAAATTGGAAATGTGACCCAATCAAAGTGACATTCAACTACGACTAATCTATAATGACAACCAGCAAAAATAGATACAATTTACCCATGAAAAATTGCGAAATATTTAAACAATTTGCTTTGTGCAGCGATAAAAGTGTTCGTTTCGAGTTGTAGAGAATACAAAAAACATGTGCAACAACAAGCAAATACGCGCACACTACACAGAGATCATGTAGTTGATGATCGTATAAACTGAAGAACGACAAATGCTCTTTCTCCGTATGACTAATAGCAAATGCGATATCTTAATTTCCCAAAGATTTTCTCTGTGCGACTCACCGATTCACTGCAATGGTTGTCACAAAGGGATATTGCAACTTTTTTGACTAGAAAAAATGCCATCTTACGTCGTGCCCGTAAATTATTTTACTGTACATTTAGATGGTAGAGCTTGAACAAAAGTTCGATACTATGCATAAACTTGGAAAGAGCTTGATAAACTTGATGAAATGGATATATTTTATGGCCGTTGTAATACCCCTATGGGTTGTCATTGTCAGATTGGAAAAGTAATTACTGTTCTGAAGCCGAAAGGCCTATCAATGAATGGCATTGCCAAAGCCTTTGGCCTGAAGGTAAGCACTAGCACATTCTCAACTCGATCATTTGCACAAACAACATTTCCACCTTGATCGAAATTGACGGTCATCTCGTGCGCAATTTTTTCTATCTATTCCGTCTAATGACCGACACTCCAGTCATGCCGTGCAATTCAAAATTGAATGGCTTAAATAAAGCAAAAAAAAAATGGAAATTAATTATCGAACGAACGTTGAAATAACTGGCATGACATTTGATTAGTTTTTCATCATGTTTATGGAAATTGGCTCTTGTCAATGGCATTGACATTGATCCAATTTCTTTTCAGGAAATTGAACTACCAAATCATGTCAACGGCTAGCAATTTCAGCGGATTCTATTAATGACAAATCTCATTTCTTCACCGATCGTGATACCGTTTATGCATGCTGCGAATGAAAGAGAGAGAGAGAGAGAGAGAGAGCGGCAAACCAGCAAATTGTCGATCACAGCGCGAGCATGGCGATGAACGAAAACGATACGCGACCAAGTGTTGTGGTCGGATGTAAATGTACGCTTCAATTAAATAATAACAATAAATACATCGCAGGTGGTATTTCTGGTGAATTCAGGTATTGGCTTTCGTTCACATTTTGGATGCAACTTTTTTTCACTCGGCTCATTTTTGCTTCATTCGTACGTTACCATGCAATGAAAAACGTTGATTCATGATTACAAGCATTTCAACAACAAAACCGTATGATTTGTGTACTGGTTTGGCAATGCAGAGCGCGGGCAATGTGCATCATTATCTGACGATGGCATTACATATATGGCGACTTTGGTGCGCTGTGTTTGTCTTTAACGCCGATCAAAAACAATTGCAATGTTGTCGTCGTCGTCGTCGTTGCAGAAAAAGAAACGAGATTTGACGTTTGCTGCATGTGTTTGCAAATCCAAAAGCATCGTTAGTTCGCTCTTGACATCCACGCCATGCACATTCTTTTTCACAAATCGCTCCCCGTATATCATAACAAATGTTCGAAACACGAATCCAAACGGCACCTTGGTTTTTGTGCAAGTTTGTTGTTCAGTCTCTTTTGTTTATTAGATTAGGATTAGGCGATAATCTGATAAGAATCTCGCTGGAAATTACACGCGCTACAATGTATGCGCAAACGAATTAGTTTTTCTGTTTGCTGCCTAATCCCGGTGCACCCATATGCTATGCAATGGTTTGATAGTCATGAGGTGAAGAGCATACAGAATTACGCTGGAAGATTTAATCGAATATTAATATGAAAATCAATGTGTTATGTATGCTTTATGTGTAAATCTTCTGTGTGCGCTGGGTCGGTCAACTTTTTTTTTCTTGGCAATTGTTTAACGTCGTTTTCTTAGCGCCCACAAAACAGCGGTCTGATTGCCGTTCAAATGATTACTCTGCGGCTGGATAGCTGGTATGCGCGTGTAAGTGATTTTCGCTTGGCTATCCCGTAAAATATTATTTACATTATGTAAATGCAAAGCATAAATTACTGGCTAAATTTTCTGAGGCAGCTACTATGCACAGACCGACGAGACTAGACAAAGAAATGATCACGATACGAGCCATGTGCTTATGCCGTTGTCAATGTATCACTTTGCCATTCATTTCGAATACAATTTTTATACTTTGATTTAAGTACGTACATTTTTAACTCCGTAGCAAGAGCTCAGTTGTATTAACCCGTTTGATTAAATGGCATGTTACTGGCTCTTTCTCTCTCTGTCTCTATCTGTTTCTCCCCCCGGTGTTAGTATTGCGTGCTGTGGTTGACGCTAGAGAAAAGACCACTCGCTCATTCGCAATATTTACCAAGCCAAGGTAATTCGAACGTATCACTCACTATCAAATGTAATTTCTGCGCAACTGACATTTCTGCATCGCAATTGGAGCGCGCACAACGGTTTCCGTCCGAAGACAGAGGGAGGAATCGGACAACGGTTCTTTCATTATGTTTTAATAAAATATAATCAAAAACTGAAATGATGGAATGCCACACTATTATTTTGTGACTAGAATTGGCTTTCAACAATTACTTGCCAATTTAGCCCAAAAAAAAGTATAATTAAGCTCAATTTTATGTGCGTTCTATTTCTGGGATACGCATTTTTCTATTCATTCAAGTCAGAGGTTGAGAATGTCATCCTATTCCATAGAAAAGTGGACACACGACTCTGTGACACAGTTTCATTCTGTTCTTCATTTTGTTGCGTGTGTGTGTGTGTGTGCAAATTATGCATTGTCTCACATAAAGCATTTAGTATAATTTGTCGTCCGCATTGTTCTCTCCATCAGTGTTCAGTTCATTTCACTGCGAAATTTTTTGTCGCTTTCATGCATTGAAATCGTGAGAAAACATGTGTTCAAATCGACCTGTGAATTCTTTACCATAATTTGTAACATATCGTCAGCCGAAAGGCCATACCAAGAATACCGTCGAAGAAATGGAAAAATTTCACAAGTCAAATGGGCGAAAATATTTTTTTCCTACACGAATTTGTGCGCACGCGCGGAGAGCTATTATCGTAAAGGATTTTCTCTGAATGAAAATCGGCCTATTGTTTGCACAATGCGCAGTGCACTTTTCAAATGCTGTAGAAATTGACGAAACAAACGCGAAAAATGCAACCGACAAGAGAAAAGAGGCATAATAATCGCATTTGGTATATGGCAACCACAAAAGAGATAGCACAGATCAAATGTGGTTGATTGTATGTGTGTGTGTGTGTGTGTTCATCATCTTGAGCTCGCATGATTTGTGCGTAAATAAATGCTAATTTATTAATGATGTTAGTGGTGTCTTGGGAATTGGTCCAATTCTAAATCCATTGTGCAGCTGGATGAATGCGCGCTGGAGAAAGACAAACATGACATAATAATAATAAAAGCACAACGTGCATAAAACAGCAGCAGTAACAACAACAACAAAATCTCGGCATCCCGTCACAAATTCAAATCCAAGCACTGTACTGATATGTACACCAGTATGCATATGTAGAAATCCAACCTATAATTGAGTCGTTGCGTATATTTTCATTTGATTTGTGTGTATGTCTTTTTTATATGTTTTTTTTTCTTCTTCTCTTCATCTTTCAGTTATAATTTACGGTGGCGTTGCTTCCCTGCGATTGAATACAATGGGATTTGCGAGCGCAGTGCGTAATTATTCCGTTTTGAAAATGGAAACTATAAAACTTTCAATCAGACCAATTGTTAGATGTGATTGTATTTGTGTATATATATCAAAGTTCAAATTCTCGCGCGCGCTCGCAATAAAATAAAAATTGTGTGCGTTTTACTTAATCAACGCACAACTAACACGATATCAAAATTTATATAAACACCCATTACACTTTCAAACCTTTTTCGCCTACATTCGATTTTTATTTGATCGTTTTTTCTTTTATTTCGTGTGTTATTTATCTTTCGCGGTAGGAGAAAAAATATACAATGGTTTCATTTTCACTTTATGAATTCATTTTATTTTTGCCGTTTGTTTCAAATAACAACTGATAGACTCACTCAACACAGATTATGGATATGCGCGTTGTTGGTTTCATTTCAGTTCGGTTTTTGTATAAAACATAAAAATTCTTTGGCAATATTCAACAGCGACGTATTTGAATGTAATAGGATACGATACAACGCTTTGTTCGCAAAAATTCTTCGAATGAATGCATTTCTCATATACTTACCATGAATATCATCCACGCAAATGTTCAAATCTTCACGAAATGCATCCAGATGTGGTAGACACTGGCACTTGCAATCGTCACTGCTTGGTCGATACTTTCCACCAATCATATCTAAACGCATTCCCACAGAACAAGAGATAAATTAATTTCAGTTTCGGTGATGATGATTCTCTTTCTTTTTTTTCAAGTGTAAAATTGCACATCTTATTATAATACCGCTACTTGTGCGATGGCAACCCACAATTAAGAGTGTACGCATAAACGATTGCAACAAAGGTACACTAGGCAAAGTGCATCACAAGTGACACACAGACCTCGAGTATTAGCAAATATGTTTGCGATAAAAAACAACAACAACAACGAGCAGAGAAATACTCGTTGATAAATTACCTGATGCGTCTTTCATGTCATTCCCGTTGGTGCCAGCAGTTCCGCTCGATAGGCCAACACATGTGTCCACGTCGCATTTCGATGCATCTAAAACGATTGAACAAATGAGAAAAATCGATCATTAACTTTTTTACACCGACTTATTTTCTCTCTCTCTCTCTCTCTCTCTCTCTCTCTCTCTTCAATTCTTTTTTTTCTCTTGCTGTCGTTGCTGGTAACAAGAAAGTAATGCAATTTTGCTCGTGTGTGTGTGTTTTTTTTTTCATCGATTTAAATCAATTCCAAATAGATGAGACTTGCTGAACGAAGAACACCGAGACTTTGTTGCACACTTTCAAGAATTATTTTAATTACGGTTATTCATTGAGCGTTTGCCATGGAACATTTATCATTCCTACGACTCGTAGCCATAAATCGGTTCATGTCGTATTCTTCCTATTTGCTTGAAGTGTGTATGTAAGCGTTGCACAATTTGATATCGAACAACGCCACAATCCAATTAGTTTTTTTTTCACTTCTTCTTTTTTTATTTTTCTTCATTTTCCGTTGCGAAAAGAAGAGAACTTGTTAAATGCCCCCTTGCAATGGACATTCCATCAACAGCAAGACGCAACGTACACACTAGACACACATTCTTTCCGCCTGCCTGGTACAGTTTCATTTAATTGAGAGAGTGCGAGAGAATGAAAAAAAAAAGAGAAAAAGAATGGCTTGACCAATAAATACCGTTTGATCAGGAAGACACACGACCAAAACTTGTTTCGATTAATTTTCTACGTGTGTGCAACACACAATCATCCAGAAGCAATAATAATAACATTATCAAAACCGATTCAATCCAAAACACAGCACAGAAAAAAAGGAAATAATAAACTTCGCATAGTTTTATGCATTCGCCCTTAAGAGCTCATTGAATTAATCGGTTTATGATGCGAACGCAAGGCAAGACACTCGAGCAAAATCCATTAAAATTGTTACAATTTCAGTTAAAATCGTATTAAAAAATAGCGCCGCACATAATGAAAATGATTACAGTTTAGAGTTAAAGAGATGATGTGAAGTAAAAAAAAAAACAAATGAATGGCTTACCGAACGCTGTGAAAATATCACCACCATGTTGTCTGGTTAAATTAACCACCCGAATCGTGGTCGTATCAATGGCCGATGCAGATGTTGGAGGCAGCACCAAAGATGTTGGCATCGGTCCACCGTTGCACACGGGAACTATTGATACTCCACCGAAATGGTCATTGTAAATATTTACCGTCAATAGGAAAACAATCAAATAAATTCGAGTGTCTAACGTTTTTGTCGTTGCCCGAAGCAAATTCCGAATTATTTGAACAGGTGATGAGGCTGCTGCTGCTGCTGCGGTGGCTGATATCGATGCCTGTGTCAACGTAGCCATTTTCTCGTATCGATATTTCAAACAACCAATTTTCTCTCTCTCAATTTTAATTTGAATACACAAATCTGGTTAACCTAAATCTCATTGACTCTTGAAGCACTGTTGACAACCATCCATCCACTTATGTTGAGGCCACACGGCATTTTCTGCACGGATAACGAAACGTTTGCTTTGCTTTTTTTTTTGCTTTCAAAATGATTTCGCATTCAAACACGCATCACTTCGTTAAATGTAAACGAAATTGATTGTTTACTCACATTTAATTTGGGCCGAAGCACATTCGATTCGGTCGATGCGGTGGTTGACGCCAATTAAACGTTCCAAAATGAATCGTGACCAATGAACTATGCTAAATGGCATACACGTGCAATTTGTGTTGTCTGCTTCGTTTATTTTCGTTTTCTGAATTAGCTCTGCAAGAAAAAATAAAGAAAAATTAAATTAAAATTTGTATAACAAGACAATCGTTTTCATTTGGGCAAGAAAATAACCAAGCTCTTTGTTGAATAAATTTGATCGGAAAAATGTATTGTGTCAGTTTTAAAATTGAATTTCGTCATTTCGAATGAATCACAATCGTTGCGGTGTAAACACTAAAACCGAATAAATTATTATGAATGAAACGGCTTGTAGAAGGAATCATCCAATCAATCAGACTGTTTATCATGTTTTTCCTACCGTTTTCACTGGAAAACCGAACAAAAAGACTGAACGTCTTCTAGTTCAACTTTCATGCGAAGTAATAATTCATTTGTGATGACATGAAAATCGTGCCGAGAACACCGAGAGAGAGAGAGAGAGAGAGAGAGAGAGAGAGAGAGAGAGCTCGGTGTACCAAACTAAAGAATAGACGAGAGATAGAGAAAAGCGTCATTGCAATTACTGGGAAGGCAGAAGGGATAGAGAACAAGAAGTGCATAAATTGCACATGTTGTTCACGTTTGTTATACTAGCATAGATAGAAAAAAAAAACAACAACAACAGCATAGATGGTATTGCAACATTAGCTGGTGGGTTAAGCGATGCAAAATTATTGGTATTTCAGCTTTTGTTTTCTTTCGTTTGATGACACCTTTGCTAATGGACCTTGCAATTTTCCAAACACTTTGGACAGCGTGGCTTAACGCGCTGTAAACAACACGGATATTGCTTTCAATGGTCATTTAACAACAGTAACAAGGACAACAGCAACAGCAACAAAAAGAATAAAAACCCAAGTGTTGTCTAATGTACAACAAATTATCTGCATACGGCAAACAACAAATTATGTGTGTGTGTGTGTGTTGTGTGCGCTTCAAATTAGCCAGAGCAATCGACATTGTTGGGCCGCGAATCAAAGGCAATTTGTGAAAAGCAAAGCGTACACATATGGTATGTTTAAACCAAATCGATCTTGCTTCAAAATAACTTTATCGACATCTCATGGCTGCGAGCATACGGTCATTTTCCTTCAGACATTATAGTGCGCAGTGATAACACATTCTATTCGTATGACGTTTTAACTGCTCGTCCGTTACTGTTATATTAACACGAATTATAACAGCACTCGGTCATTTCGATTAATCAATACGTTGTGTATACATATTATACCAATCAAATTACGCATCGTACGCAAGCAATCAAAATATTAAAATATTCTTTGAAACTCTTGACCGATTATTATTATTATTATTATTCTCTATGCTCACTAGTTTAACTCTTATCACATCTTGATTTGCTATGCACTTCGCTCGATGTTGTTGACTTTTTTTTCTGGTTGTTGTTGTCGTCGTCTTTCTTCTCTCCATGAAATAACTGTATCAAGTCGGAGTGTGTGGTTGTTGCTCGGTGGCTTTTGAAGCATGATTGCAAGAGAGTGGTAGAGTAACGTCATTACCGATTTGCAATGATAACATAGTTTATATGCGGTAAAGAGAAGAATATTTTCCGGGCTGCAACATGCTGCGCCACTGACAGTGTATAATTTAAACGCATTATTCGTTGTAACAGTGGGTATATATATATATATTTGTGGAAATGGGCTAAATAAATGGCATGCGAATCACATCCCGAATTACATCATGTTGTTCTTGTTGCTGCTCGCCGACTATTGCCGGTAACAAACGAGAAAATGTCACACATAATGATGGTGTCGACGACTTTGGCTACACAACCAATTGCAATAATTCACTTTGTACGATGCAAACTCGCCTCTTGCAGTCAGAATCGGTATCTATCCATGTGTGTGTGTGTGCGTGTGCAACCGAGTTGTATTAATTAATTCGGTTAGTGCGATCTAACAATCATTGCATGCAAAATTGTCATTGGTCATTCACTGTTTACGTTTGACTCTGTGCGCATTAATTATGTAAATAATGTGTACAAGGTTGTTAATAATAGAGCAAAAGGTCCATGGAAAAAGAATGTTGATTGAATTTAAGAGAAAAACTTTTGCAATTTACTACACACACACACACATTGAACTACCGTTGTGATTTCGGAGTCTCAGCTGATCTGAATATGTGAGTGTCTGTCTCATTGAAGAAAAAAAAACCACGCCGTAAATAAACACTCAACTGGACAAACATGCATTTTATGCCGATTTTGCATTTGAATCGATTTGCAAACAAAAGAAAATTGAAAATCTTCATTTATATCGTTCGAAGGTAATCTCTGTCAGTTTGTTTTGTAACAGCACACCACATTCAACTCGGTTTGTTTTCGCTGAAAATCTCTTTGGAAAAAGGGTTCCCTTGGTGTTTATTCGACTGTTATTATGATTTCGTCTTGGTTTTTTCTTATGACCATAGTATCATAAAAAGCACATAAATGCAAAACACAGCCAAATAAACCTGAGCCGAATTGAGTTGCTTGCATATTTTTTTATTATTCATGTCCCATCCGCCTGATGCATCGTACACAATATTTGGCCATTTCAAATTGTCGTTATCATCGATTCTCTTTGGTAGAGTTCAATGTGAATCATTTACATTTATGATGAGCAGTGCAAACTTTGGCAATATGTGTACGTTGATATTTCGGGTATTTCACGCATTTATCAATCGATTGTTGAAGTGATGATGATGTTGCGGACGTTTTTCATTCTTCTTTTTTCTGTGTTGTATTTCGTCTTTCGTCTTTTCTTTTGTGCTGAGCTCATGACAAATCATTCCCATTTTGCACAGCATTGGAATGAAAATGAGCAAGAAAACACACAAACACCTTATTTTTCTTATCAAAATGGGTTTGGTCGGAAATTGCGCTGAGTGCTGTGCGATTTTATCAATGTCATTTTATGGTTTGAAAATAATATTTAGTGTCGAAAACTAAAACCAACTCATAATGTTGCCCATGAAAATGAAATCTCTTCATTTCTCTCTCTCTCTCTCTCTCTCTCTCTCTCTCTCTCTCTCTCTCTCTCTCTCTCTCTCTCTCAATCCACTCATCTAAACGGCCGCCAATCCAATCGTATCATTCTTTAGGGCGTTTTTTTCTGCTTTTGTTGTTACTGTTTTATGTTCTTAGTGTAAAAAGTAGCGGCACTTGATGATATTGCTCCCATAATAATGGTAATTTATGGCTGGATTTGATGTGGTTGGTGGATACTTTTTTTATTCGTTACTTTTCTTCCTTCACACTCTGTCGACCGGCACAAATTTTAGTCAATCAATTCGATGTGATTACTTCAAGTGGTTCGACCGGCTGATATTTTACACCGATTTCAAACCATAAAATTGCTCAATTTGAAAGTTTTTTTTTCTGATGCGCCATATGGAAACACGGTGATATGCATTTTTGAATGTATGTTTGTTTTGTCGCCGCAGGAACACCAATTTTAATTACATGCAGTCAGAAAATAAAATGGGAAAGAAGACGACATTTCTGCTCGGCTGAACATTCTCAAGCAATAAAATGCACCGTGATATTTGCATCAAATCGAATGGACTACTGTAAATTTACGACGGTTAAATGCTCAAAATCAGTTGGATTCTATTTTATGCAAAAATCTCTGTTCATCCTTCATGCGACCGGGATATGATGTTCGATTGTTGATTTTTACCCATAAAATAGGCTAAAACACCAATAAATTCCAGTTGACCAGACGTCAAACGACGACGGCTGAATGACCGATGATTGAACTCTCTGTCCACCTTGATGGCATGCATGTCAAGTGTACGATGGATTTTGAATCGCATTTCTTTTGGACCAACGGATAGAACAAAAAAATGTGCGCGCACTCTTCAGCTTCCTGTGTCTTTCGTTCCATTCAATAGCAATAGGCTTTTTTTCTTCTTTGAATTCGTTTCGCTCTACTTCAATTGATGATTCGCAATTCACATGAGCATGTGAATGAGCCTGTAAATCGATATTAACTCGTAAATAAAAATGGTTCAAACATCTTTTAAAAACAAGATGAACATGGTTTTTGGCATGCGCTCACGTAATCATCGTATCGTAGCAGATAGCAGTAACTGAAAACGATTGAGAGAGGGGAAAAAAATACACGGAGACCACATGAATCATTGAAGGTAAATGCGTTGTAATAGCGCGATCTTTGCGATTCGAATCAATATCAAAAAATGGTAGAGATGGTATAAATTTCAGTGTTTTCATTCATCTAATTTGTTGCCTTTTGACTTTCAACATCCTGTCTTCGTGATCTGTTTATCGCTGTGGACCGTAATATTTATGGCTTGGCTTGGCTTGGCTTAGCTTTGCGATGAACGTGTTGCTTGCATATGAGTGTTGCCCAATGATTAGCAGAACAAGTAGAAAATCGACATAGCATTAGGAGCATACGTGATAGACCGTGAGGGAGAGAGAGCGAATTGCTGTTTAATTAGGCTGCAATGTTCATATTATCAAGGGCGTGTAAAAAGTCGACAATGAAACGGACCCGTTCGTTATATTCGAGATGTCAGAAACAATTTGCCTACACGTTACCGTCGAATAATGTGTGCGGTCAAAGGAATTCCGCCCGATTTACACCTCGATACACCATTGAAAAAATATATCTTTTTCACGTAATAAGTAAAGCACTTGGTTCTACTTAGGCTTATCGCAAAACACTTATACTTCATCTAGGTACTGCACTGGTTGGATTACTTAAATCACAATTATAAACAAAGAGAAAAAAAAAATTCCAAATGAACCGGGAAAATGACCAATAAATAAAAAATGATGTTGCACGACATATATGGAGCATTGAAACGTTTCGTATCCCTCTATTTCTCTTTTCCGTTCCTGTCTATCCCTCACTTGTCTGCCTCAGTGCCAATGCTACATTGTTGAAACGATCGGTATCGAACTGTAACAAAATATTTTATGCGTGAGTCGAGACCATAGCTTCAATTTTATCTATATCTACCTTTCAGCGTTTAACTGATTCGATCACGTCAATTCTTTATGTACATACATAACGAAATAAAACGAC